CTGACATCCCCCGATCCATAGCCCAGTGTCTACTGGATATCCTCATGACGGCACTTTAAATGGATCCTCCTCGAGAATTTATCGAAATAGGTCTGCAGGGTCAGGAGTCTGTTTTGAAATTAGTCGGCTAGAGAGAGAGAGAGGTTCATCGGCAAGACTCACTCATCCGCGACGGAATTCACCAAACCACTTGAACGTGATGGCTTTTCTTGATCCGTTGTTCCCCAAAAGTTTATATAATTCAGGCGCGACACTGATATTAATTTAACTCTTTGAAACCTAAACCCGTCATATGACGGACTAAGCCCACAAAATCGCCGGGGCTGATGGTGTAAAACCGGGTTTGAAATCAGAATACATCGTGGCTCGAAAATTATCTTTGGTGAGCTGATTGGTTAATTCTGGATCTCAATATGGCTAGTGATGAACTAAATTTATTCATTCATTAATTTACAATGCTGCCCATCTAACTTCGGGGGTGTGGGGACTCGACTTAAACAGGTAGAGGAGCATCCTCCATTGTTCCGGATACTAGGGAACAAACTCGTGACACAGCAGGTAGAATGCCGAGCCTTGAGTGACAAAGCTCCGCAATCTAGTCCTTCCACCTTGCACGAGACCTACCGACTGGTTCTTCTGCCAATCATTCTGGACTGGGAGGCTTTTTTTTGGGAGTCTCTCAGGGGACATGAGGCATTAAATGCCCCTGCATTCTTAAACACCCAATAGGTTAGTGTCCTTTGAGACCATAAACAAAGTAGAGAGGGTAACTAGAGGCAACGCTCCACTCGAATCCCATTCATTAGCAGAATCGCAATGTATACGTCACTGTCGATCCTCCGCCAAGCGGAAACATGTCAGTAACCCCTCCATGGCTATGCAGCGTCCTCAACAAGACACCACTTGTATTAAATTGAGAGACCCCCTATGAGTCGAATCCCGATTCCATTACTACGAAGCATGCTGCATAGAAATATTGTTGTCTAGGGCCACCTGAAATCTCTAATATTTGGACGCTCCCCTACTTATCGGGACATCGTCTCTAGTTGGACTCTCAACTCTGCCAGAAGCACGGCTCATCCTATTATTCCATGCAAGCATGGTCTTAACTCCAAAATCTTCCTGGTTTGCCTGGGTCCACGAACTTCTTGAGTCATCCCCGTATCTCGAGAACAGCTTGGTGCAACCACAATTACTTCACCTGAGTTGAAATGACCCACCTTCATTGTTAGAAGTTTTTCGTTTCCGGCTCTGGACAACGATTGTGTCATTCCGTGACGCAGACAGCAAAATAAAAATTGTATGTTGGAGATTGCCTGACGACTGGACTTCAACGCCTTATTCATTAATGAAATTAATGTTTAAACAGTTTTCCTCCCCTTGGTGTGTCCGTCTGTGGCAAGGGGAGTCCCAGACTCTTCCTTTCGCAATCTGCTTCCTGCTTCGTTCATGGTTACCTGACCTTTTCCCTTCTCCAAGCCTCTGCGTCCCTCTTTTTTTTATTTTCGAGGCTTCTTTCTTTGAAATGAAATGAAAATAGAAATAATGCCGGCTTGAACGCGCACATATGCTTGCATGCATTCATGACAGTGTCAGTTTGCTCAGCTTTTCTCAAATATTTTCGATGCCGTTCACTTTCGATGTGACTCTCAGACCTTCCTGCAATGACACCAGCTCACCATAAAGAATTGACATGGAATGATGAACACAGGAAGATGGAAACGAGTCCAGTCGATGAGCTAAGGGAGAGGAAACAGCTCTAAATCGAGCTTTCCTAGCCTTTCTTTTCCCTTCTTGTCTGTCGTTTATATCGACTTGCCAGTTTCAATTCCATTCTATTCTATGCACGATGGCACGAGTGCAGGAGAGAGATATGAAGAGGAGCATGCTTGGGAATGCAATATTTAAAGGAAATATCAATTGGCAGGTAGGCCAGTAAATCGAGTTTTGCCAGTTGAGAACTCCACGCCCGAAGACTTTCGTGTTCGGATGGAAGTTACTGATGAAGTGATGGAAGTAGAAAGTATAAGAGGCCGTTCATTGTGGTCGGCATCTTTCTCACCGCTCCTATCTCTTTTCAACATGAATGCGTTCAGAGGTAATACTTCCTGCTGCTCTGCGCCGATTCCTTTCATTACAGACAAAGGCGAGTGGAGCTCGTCGCTTTTGATCGGAAATGGGAATCGACCCTGGTGATTGCTAGATTGCAAATAGGAGCTACTAGCTATAATCTGACAGGAACGGTGATCCATGCTTTCGTCTTCGGCTGAGAGCTCGATTAGCAAAGGCACCTTGGATGTAAGGAGAGAAAGTTGAATGTCCCACATGGGCACATTCGTGGTCAAGGATAGTTGCAGTTGTAGAGAAAGGAGACAAAAATAATTTGGAAAACGATCGAGATTGAAAAGCAGGGAAGAGAGGGAACATCGGCGTCTGATCTTGAGACGTCTTGTTCAAACATAATTCTTTCAAAGACTGTAAAAGCACTTAGCGCTTCCTGCGTGCCATGCGTTCACATGCACGAATGCATGTGTTTGCATGCTGCTCATTTGCGTTCGAAGGAAAAGCATCCAAGTCCGAGCGCATCCACACGCATGTGCTAAGGCGGAAACGTAATGTGTGAACGAAGGAATAAGGACAGTATATTTGTGCTCGGAATTTGAAGCAATTCAATTAAAATGTAAACCTTGCGTTTCTGCTTTACCTACCAGTGCATGTGGGCAGGAAATGCGCCTTCCTTTTCGTGAAGATGCCTTCATGGAAAAAGAAAAAGAGGGAGCAAGCAGCATTAAGCAACTAAACAGTCGACAGAAGAGCTCCCGCAAAAATATTTGTCTTTAAGATAGTAAAAAGGGAATTAACTGTGGTGCCATTCCCACCCAAACCAATCTAGGCGACAGGGGAAAAAACCCCGCTCCCAAACCAAACTTGACAGATTGAATGACTCCTAATTGGCTCCAAAGCCGTTCATCCCCCTCCCCCAGAACCGTCAGGTTACAAAACTGCACTAAAGTAATTTCTGAAGCCAGTTATATACCTTGAGCTGCTGATTGCAAAGTAAGAACTTTGACCAAGTCAAACAGCAAGCGTTATGACATTGAGTCCTACGATATTTAAAAACGGTTTATTAGGCGAATGCCTGGTAGGGCAGTTGCCTGCTTCCAACCAAGGCGCACAGATGGTAAAAAGGGAATCAACTGTGGTGCCATTACTTTGGTGCAGTTTTGTAACCTGACGGTTCTGGGGGAGGGGGATGAACGGCTTTGGAGCCAATTAGGAGTCATTCATTCTGTCAGGTTTGGTTCGGGAGCGGGGTTTTTTCCCCTGTCGCCTAGATTGGTTTAGGTGGGAATGGCACCACAGTTAATTCCCTTTTTACTAACTGTGCGCCTTGACTGGAAGCAGGCTGCTGCCCTACCAGGCATTTGCCTAATAAGCCGTTTTTTTTAATATCGTAGGACTCAATATTATATCTTTTAACGATGGATATTTCAAGATGGATATTTTAAAATTCACGCTCGACCTCGACCCGGGATGTTATAAAGGGCAGAGACATCCTGACATCCCTACTCAAATATTGAATCTTTGCATCCGAACGAGAGTGGACGCTTGCAGACTCGCAAGTCCCATGCGCGTTCTTAATCGCATGCGTCTTACGCAAAATATGAAAGTGTGAAATGACCTGTAGGGTTTGCATTTGCTTCGAAACGTGTTTGGGTTTCTCTGGCTGGATACTGTGAAATCCAGACACATATATTCGTCCCAAGTTAATAGAGTAGATGCTCTTCTAGCATGGACTCTGTCTGGACTAGGAAGAGGCGAAACGGAGATATATAGCTGCCTGCTTTAGTCACCCTGTTGCGTACACCTCTTTCCCTTCATGAAACTCTGGGAAATAGCTTCAGCCTTGCGGGTTTGCTCATTCACAGGTATCCCTGAGAATCATCTCGCAAAGTGCTGCTCAAAACTTTGCGACATGTTTTCCATTAGTGACAAATATTATTTGCCATTATGGGGATTTAAATTTAAAAAAAATACATTATAGGAAAAAAAAATTGAATAAATTTCCAAATAGTAAGCGATTAAGAAGAACGGCAGAGTGAATGATAGTTCACCCCGACCACCAAAAATTCACTTGCATCTCTTAATATTCTATTGCATTCTCCTCCTCTCCCCTTTCCACCATACCTCGCATTACTTCGCATGCATTGCACGCGGTAGTAGTGCGTTGAAAAAGAAGCTCCTATTAGACAGGCTTTGCATAGCTTGATTTGTCATTCAGCGGGAAAATTTCTCACCCATAGAATCTATTCAAAGTCTTTTTCACTGGGATGTCTTTATAGCCTACTTGGAATACGGGTAGTTCAAGTGCAGAGATATGAGGATCTCTGCAATCGTGTAATTAGATTGATGAGATGTGCTTGGATTCCAAAGACCCTTTCTCCCGAGTGTTTAATTCCGTGGATCTAATGTATGTAAGCATCAAGTATTACAGTCATGGAATGCTCATTAGGCTGAAAGTAAGACTGAAGTATCTCGATAGGATGAGAACGTTCCTCTCTTCCTATCTCGCTTTTATTCATCCTGTTAGATATCGCTTTTCCATCTCTCAGAGCGTGACCATACCTTCCTCACGACTCACGATAACGATCACGCTTGAAGATTAGGATGGGCCTATCCGAGAATGCGTCCTATTTTGGGGTTTAAAGGCATTCAATTAAATCGGTGAAAGTCAGAAATGGGCGGAAAGGGAGACTAATTGAGGTGAAAGGAGTTAGCCAGCTCTAGAAGTCATTAATTTGTTCCCTATCATAAAGGAAACTTTTTTTTGCACCAGTTTTTCCCCTCGTAAATTGTTTCCTTTCTCGTAAACAATGATCAGTCCTGCTATAGGACGACGGTACCAATTTCTCATGGGAATTCTGATTGAAAGACATCGCCCCTCGCATCTCTCCATTCATGTCTTTCACGTGTTATGTGTAAGAGAGTGATCATGGATCTCACCTGTAACAGTTGTTGTGGAATGTGTTGTAGCTTGCATACGTGAGATGCACTCCAAAGCCAGCCCCGACTGAATAGAATATCTGGACCGCTGCGTCCACCCATACCTACAAAGATTCGGAGAACCTTCATATCCGTATATTCCCCCTCTCTAGTCTACTCCGTTCCCTTTATTTCGTGAGAGATGAGAGACAGTTGGTGGAATCGCAATGCTTCATGTCTCTCTATCATGACGAGTAAATCCGGGATCCACAGATGAAGAGCACTAATAAGTTTCCGGATTCGGCACCTGTTTTATTCCCAGGGCTATTATTTGCAAGTCCCTTCGAGAAATCACGACAATATAATTTCTGAAAGAACTTCATCATCATCCCTACTAAGGAGGAAGGCAAAAGTTGATCCGGTTGCACGCCCCCTCGAATGCATCGATTTTCTGCATTTCAGCAATTCCACTTGCGGAATAAGTAGGATCATTTTCGTTTACAACTCAGTTCCATCCCAGTCTGAGCTCAGCAGCCCACCAGGCGGACTCAGTCACCCCTTGAAACTACCCTAAGTAACTGAGTTGAAAAATGACGAACAGCGCGTTACTGCTAGACTAAGCAAATTCTCATTAAGGTTATTCAACATGATAGCAGGAGATAAATGTCGGATAGACATAAACCTCTCGGCCTATAGTTTTGATAGAGGATATACCTAGAAACAAATGCAAAAGCTATGAAAAGCATTCACTCAATGGTCCCCCCAGAAAGGGAGAGATAAGGCGAAAAAAAGAGATTGTTTGTATGTTTGCTCTTTGACGGAGAAGAATCAGCTCATTACAATTTCACATATATGTGATACGCAGTGGCTCATGAAAATGTATTCCATCACCTGTCGAATTATAATCTCGTCACAGAATTTCAAACGGGAGAATTTCCTTGTATATTGTTCAATGATCATAATTAGTATTGACGTGTACTTATTATACTGATGATTTCAGGGCAGGTCTATCCCGTGAAACTGAAACTATGTCCTCCCTCATTTGAATGCTAGGTTATCTAAATGACTGGAATTATTCCAACAGCAGCCAGAAGGAATGCACATTGGTAGATATTTGGACTTTAGACTTCTCATAGCACCCATACTGCCTGTAACTTTCACTGAATTTCATCAAAGATTCAGGACAGTGAAGTATTGAATTGATTTAAATTTACTGCTAAAAAAAATTACAGAGGAACGAGTGGTGAACATGGCAACAGACTTCAAAGTTAAACAAAGAAGCTTTTCACGTCCTTTGAAGGGCATGGTCTCGCATATTCCCCACACAGTACAGAACTGTGTGCCTCCTACAGGTGACAGGGTCTGATGGGATCCAGATGTGAACTTGTGGATTCATATCCCTCATTGATTCATAACACTACATGCATGCTGTGTTCTCAAACTATACCCTTTACCCAATGGTGGAACACGGTAATGTCTGGGAGGTCCTTTTCTTTCAAGGTGAAAATACTTTTCTCTGGCAACAGATTTAGGTGCACTTTCTTGAAGTGTCTTGAAGTCTTGGAGTGAGCTAATGACTCCATTCCATTATTTTTCTCTTTAGTTCTCTTAAATTGGCTTTGGGGCATATGCTCATTTCAATTATCGAGCTCCTTTTTTGCATATATTAGGACCCACACCAACTCACTTTTTTGGATGATTAGAGAGAGGTTTATGAAATTTGAATTTTTTCAACTTTCTACTGATAATGTGACACACTGACTAACTCACATGAGCTGAATCCTGGCCCAGAAGGATCTCTTAAAATATTTCCCTGGGTGTCCCCAACCAAGCTAAGATGGATCTATCGATTGCTCCCCAGGAATGCAACATCAAAACGGTGGCCACAAGGAATAACTTCCTAATTCTCCCTTGGAGAGGCATGACATGATTAGGATTTATTTTTACCACATTTTAAATGAATTTTCTAATTAAAACTGAGGTTGCTTGCTTCAATGGCGAAATAATTTTCAGGTAAAGCAATGGAATTAAATTATTTTATCCTCTTTCCGCCAGAGAAACCACCGTGCTTTTCCTCTACAAGACACAATTGAAATACTTCACACGTAGAAGCAGAACCTGGTTCTGCTGCAACTGAAGTTTTGGAACCTCAAATCAGCAAGTTTCAGGAAGTAAGTTCAGCAAACATCTTCGATCGAACTGAAGAGCTGACCAGATCCAGTTTCTCAGTAAGATCGGATAGGATTCAAGTTGACAGAGGTCAGGTTCGGATAAACTATATTCCATCAAAGTTCTAGAAAATTCATGTGTTCGAAATCCTGCTGGACGCGACTTAAGTTCTCTACAGGGAAAGGGAAAGAAATCCTCTGAAAGTTGAAAAATAATGATATTTTTAAGTTTGATCATATTTCCTATAAATACTGACGTCTCATCTTGAATCCAGCATCATTCCTATACTCTTAAGATATGGTATGATATGGTATCTATGATGTGGCTCTAGAGTTATTCTAATACGCCTTGCTTATTCGCGGAAAACAAGAATAGCTTGTATAACATGACCTTTTCATTTTTTACCGTCCATCTCATCTTATTTCGATATATTAACCCAGCCTTCATGAAAATATTGACTTAACGTTGAAAAGATGTTGACGATGTTGAGGGGATGTTGATGCTAATGATCTAATGCATAGTCAACTTTCCCGCCATGTTGAAAATATCAATATTGCGAGGACATTATCCGGTCAACGTTGATGTCGATTGGCTGCAATAGCTCAACCGTCCTCTTGCTTCCGCGAGAGCAGGATACATCTCTAATCTCGCAGAGTCCTTGTCGAGATGGGAGGGGGGCATCTTTGACTCCATATCGGAGCAGTTGAGATCACGCTCATGTGGCATCCGCTGAGTACTTCAGCAATTAAATGGCGCATGCGCAGGAATTCGAAAGCACGTTAGACATTGTTGAGACCTGTCCCATTTCAAAGTTGACGCAATGTTGATTCAATGTGACAATCAATGTTCCTCAACGTTAACTCAACATGATGGATGTTGAAACTTCAATGCTCTTAAACGTTGCATCAATATTGTAGTGCAGACTGAGAAGCATTCCTTTTCGACCCTATAGTGCATGGCAGTTACTTCCTCTTTGTCCCAGCACAGGATCGACTGCTTCTCACCGAGGGAATTGCGCACTTTCCCTCCTTTGAGTGGAAGTCTATCCTTCAAATGAGAGTTACACAGCACAGAGGTAATGATTAGTCGATAGTGTGGCCTGAGGTCTTACCCGGGGCTAATTCTTGGAATTATGTCGTCCTCTTGTTTTCCAGCCCATCCAATTCCTTTTTTTCATCTTTCTTTTCCCTTAGATTCTGGATAGAAATAGTTTTTTTTTTATTCTGTTCCATTCACGCTCTTTCATTTCCCGAAGACCTCGTCTATTTGTTTCTCCATCAAGACGAATGGATGTCGATATAGTAGACCTAGATCAGAGCACATGCCCTCCAGACGAATGAACGGCCTACGTACTGGTTATACGAAGATGACAGATCCCCAGATTGTCGATATTGCCTTGTACCTCATTGTGGCTCCAAATATCTCTCCGGAAAAGCTCTCCGAGTAATTGCAACGACTTCTAGGGCTAAGTAGACTACATGGGAAAAGATGTAATTTTATGTAACTTGAAGTCTGCAGATGAAACCAGGATCTACCACAGCGCTTTACGTAAGGATACTGCTAAACGTAGAGAGGGTTCATGACTTTAGAGTCCTGACTCACCTGAGAATGCTTCAAGCGTGACAAGTCCGGACTGAGATAATAAATGATGCCTTGACTGGCCCCCGGTAAGAAAAGGCCTCGAAATAAGAGGATGCTGAGGATGAAGTAGGGCATGGTAGCCGTGACCCAGACCACTTTACCTGCATATAATTGAACAATGAGATGAGCCAAGCCGAAGGGGTACGTGCAAAACCCCCAGAGACACCACTCACCCGAAGCCTTCACTCCTTTGAAGAGAGAGAGATAAAGAAGGGAATAGACAATAAGTAAGCACCCCAAGAGTGTCCATCGTGGCCAACCGAGGTCAGAAATCCCCGTGCTTCGATGTAATCCCAACACTCCTCTCCTGTAATGTCAAACATGGACATGGATTGCAAAAAAAAGGCACAGGGGAGAGTAAATGCTAGACGAAATAAATGCCGTCTTATGAGCTGTCTGCATCATCGCTCTATCCTGCTTTATATATGCAAGAGGAAGTTAATTAAGACTCGAAATTCCCTCTCTGGTACCTGACCGAATGACTGGCTGGAGTCATCCATCATGAGATTATCTAGCTAAACGTCGATCTCTGCCCGTCATTACGATGCTCAGGAGAGATAATTGAAATCTTGAATGGCATCTTCGCGTGATGCCTCCATCGCTTTCCCCCGATATATAATCTTCTCCTGGGGCTTCCTCATCATTGCCAGAAATGGGAACGCATACCATGACTTATGCTGTCCAGTTCGTCCTGACGAATAGGAAAGCATAGCACCGAAAAATCTCCACCAACCCCTGGCCTTGAATTCATCCAGACGATCAGTAGATTGCTTTCTTCAGCATACAAAGATATTTTGAAAGAAGGGAAGGAAGGCCATTCAGCTCAATCCCGGCCGAACGCGGACTGATCCCAGTTTAGGAAGTCAATAATCTTCTCGTTCTCTCTCACAAAAGACTCAATCTCATGCTTCGGTGACGAATTAACCCAGCTGGATTAGGAATCCTAGCAAATCGGCGATGTTGCTCTATTTTTCAAGCTGCTTCCATCGTCGACGATAACGGGTAAAAATAAAAGGGACTCACGCGAAGTACTCGAAAGCTGGCGATGTAGACACGTCGAAGTTAGCCCTGAGTTCTTCATCTCCCTCAGAGGACGTGTTTTTCGATGATTTTTGAGCATAAGAGAAACAAGAGGGAGTATTCCATGAGGCGTCGCACCTCGTCCACGGGAGCTCAGGTTGAAGGCTCGCGAATAAAAAATAGAAGGCCCATGCTATGATCACGGTGTAGTAGAAAGAGACGTAAAACGCTACCATCACAGCGCAGTACCCCACACCTGCGAAATGGGAAAAAAAAGTTTGCATTTCACGTGACAGCCCACCAAAGGAAACGCGACTCTCCTCGGTAGGGGCATTGAAACCCTCTTGCATCCCCCAATTATCAACGGTACTTTTAAATGTGGATCGCGTGAAAAGAATGACTGCTCGAAATGCCCTACAGGAACTAAGATTCAGGTGTCTTAACGTAAGGAAGGAATAGGTTTCGAGTTGACCCGTTTCAAGAAATGTAAAAGCGTCTGGTATAAGGAGGACTTCGTATTCTGATTGCCGATCCAAACTACTTCATTGAAAAAGATAATTTCCTTTTCTAGTTCCATTTTCATTACTTAACATCGTTACCTTTTGAAATGCAAACTTTAAAGCGTTTGCAGGAAATAAGGCATTCAGATCATGAATTTCTTCGAATCGATACCAGGAAGGATGCAAGTAGATAAGAGGAAAGATAAAAGATATTTAAGATACATTTTTTTAGTAATAGAAAAATCGATAATGGTGTAGTTTGCTAGCAATGGGATTATTAATTGTCTAGCAGAAAGAGCTGGTGGTGTATTGTAAAACTTCCCTCTAAAGGCTGCAAATATCCATGTCCTACCACATTATATCCTATGGATTCATTATTCGTGTAAAATACAGTAAAGTGTAAAATTATATTAAATTAAACATGGCTGGACGAGTCAATTTGTATGCCAATACAAAAGAGGGTTGGTGCACACCAAGTGACAAAAATCTGTTTATTAAAATGCATGAACATCCTTTTTATAAGTATCTCCTGAAACCCGTGAGCCACCGTTTCCTGCCGTCAAATTCAGGTCATTCTTAATAGGTCTTCTTAGGTAATTCCATTCAAATTCATCCGATTTAACCTTCTAGAATGGCTGATTTTTAGGGAGGAAATATAGTTATATCTTGATTCGCTGTGCTTTGTTCTAGCTTTTTCCTGCTGTAAATTTTTCCTCTGTAATTTTTTAAGTTTAAGGGCGGGGCTTATCCTTCTGAAAGTGGGATGATATTAAAAGGCAATATCTTACTTCTGAAGTACTCCTGGATGAATAACGAATAGCTAACAAAATCCTATACAAAACGTTACCCCCTCGTTATATTTAATAGCTTTTTCACCAAATATTTACTTGAAGGGTCTAGAACAGCTTTAGAGGGGGGAAAAGGGGGAAAAGAGGGGGATTCCCGATTTTTATCTGAGGCTCAGAAGAAAGAACTCCTCTCTTCTCCAGATCCTGCTTGCGGAGAAGACTCAAAGGTGAAATTCCGGTAAACCCAGGGGAAAGTTCCCCCAGGACCCTCGCACTTGTCTTTCTTATCCTTATGAGACACGTTGGAACTACGACATTCCCATTATGGCTCGGTAGCCGTCATGACTGCAAGTCGGTCTCGCCTAGTGTCAGTGGTTCGGCTCTATCTCAAAAACGTCCTTCGTGCTGTAATGTGAATTGGTTCCTTTGACGTTAAGCTAAACTTATCTCAGGGTCTATGAACTTATACCACTACTTAGCTCGGGATAGGCTGATGTAAAAATGCATTCAGAATTCTGCGACTAATGATCAGACCGACAAGTCGTGAGCTAGTATAGCATAGAAATAAATTTTGCCGACAATTTCACGATGTGATTCTCTTGTGCAAGTCATGCTTTTATTCTTAGATCACAGCACCCATATGGGTGTTGTGATTAACATCTCTTAATCATAGCCTCAGTGTTAATGTTACACCTATCACATAAGGTGAGGATCACATCAGAGTATTCTTGAAAGAAGAGGTAAGTCTGGGGTACCACTGATACCCTGTAGGTAACAGAATGTAAATTAACGTGTGAAAAGTAAATGTAAAATACAAGTAAGACAGATGAAAAGATAGGAAATGTAACACTGAGGTAAAATACAGGTAAAAGAGAGGTAAATTGGAACGGTGAAACAGGTATAAAAAAAGGGGGAGACATTCCCCCCCCCCTTTTTTTTTCTTTTCCTTTTTTTATTTTTACCTCAGTTTCACCGTCCTAATTTTATCTCAGGTATAAAGAAAATTTGTAAGTGATTCTGACCTTCGGATGCCTTGGAGTCTTTGCACCATAAAATATGGAAATCTCAGGAACTATTTGAGGTACATTGATATACCTGTAGCTGGAGAAGGGACCCTGAAGATTTTTAACTTGGAAGTTGAAATAGTCACCGGTTAGCTCTTGTTTTTAATTTCAAACCTCAATGTCCAAGAATCAATTACTTGGTCTTATTTTTGGAATGAACGTGACTTTAATCTAATATACAGTATATAGACGATCGTGACTGACTGACTGACGCTGATTCTAATCATGTTCTAGAGAAGTTAGAAATCTGAAACTTGGTACACAAGTAGCTATTGGGATGCAGAGTTCAGAAAAAAATCCAACTTTGGAGGCACATGCCCTGGGGGAAATTTCAGGGGGGACTGATTTTGCCAGCCTTGGTCCAGCCCCCAGACAGAGGTTTAGGCCTACGCCATTCTTATGCACACATTCCTTCCTCTGTCATTGAAGGAAGTGTGTGTATCTGTTAGATGGTCACTCAGAAGGAATTCCGACTTTGGAAGGGGGAGGGGTGCTGATTTTGCAGGCCTAGGCCTAACCCATGGATGGACGCTTAGGCCAATACCATTCTCGTGCATTCTCTTCTTCCAAGGAAGCGGGATGGAAAACCAACAGCTGTTGGCTTGCAAGCCACAGATAACAGTTCGACATTGGAGATACGTGCCCTGAAGGGACTGTTTCAGCAGGCCCATATCTAACCTTTGGACGGACGCTCAGGCCTACATCGATCTCGACTCAATGGCATCGGTGAACTTTTCGGTCTATCTGAACGGAAAACTTGCTGCCTTAGCATGCGGCGCGAGGTCTTTGCCCTATGCCTTTCTAGATCATAGGCTAGGTAAAAGGACTTGGGTTGATGGGTATGGGTATGCTTGTGCATGCGAATTGGTTTCATGTTTTTTGTAGCTGGGAAACGGCAAGGAAGATTTTCCCTCGACTTTCTGATTTTGAGTGGTTATGTCCAATGCGGGACGCTTAGACCAATGCCATTTCCATGCTCACACTTCGACTAAACAGGAACGTAAATAGCTGTAAACTTCCTTCATGAATGACGTATTTTCTCATGGACAACTGTATGTAGCATTAAGTAAAGTTAGAAAAAGGGATTCCATAAAAGTAATTGCCTAAATATAGATATGAGGATATTGAAAGAACTCCCCATACAGAGAACGTAGTCCATAAAGAGTTATTGCGTTAAAACTCTCAAGTGGCTTATGTGGTTCATGTGGCTGCTATTACTCACTTATACTTTTTTGGAGATTGATAAGCAATCAAGAGTGTGTCGACCACAGGCAGGAATTTAATGATTCTCATACTACAAGTCACATGGCGTTTCTAAGAAAATGTTCTAAGACACCTTTTTTTAAAGTGTCAGAGCCAAAGATGTGGGAATTGAACTCACGAACAAAGGAGTTTGACCGCATTACTAAGGATGAGCATCGAAAACGGATGCCATGAACTGAAATGCATTAATTCCCTTAGGTCGCAGAGCGCGGAAGGCGCGTCCATGGCGAGTTTGTTTGCTCGAAGGGCAAAAAAACTCGCTAGTAACAGATAATGCTCTTTGATGCAGCTCTTTGAGAACTTGTAGATGAGCTAATGGGCATTATCGTTGCTCAAATACTAGTAGTTCCTGAGATGTCAAGTAAGTTTATGCTGCAAGGACACAAAAGGCACCGAACAAAGGAATAAATTTTGCGACCACTTGTCTCGAAAACAAAGAGAGCCAGCACAGAACAAATTTACAGTTTCATTTCCTAACTAGGGAATACTGCATGCTAAATTTAATCCAGATCCTTAAGATGACCCCCTCCATAACTTTTTCCGGAATTGGGACACTTGAGACGGAATGACTCCTCTCCTGATGTGAAAAGAATGACTGCTCGAAATGCCCTACAGGAACTAAGATTCAGGTGTCTTAACGTAAGGAAGGAATAGGTTTCGAGTTGACCCGTTTCAAGAAATGTAAAAGCGTCTGGTATAAGGAGGACTT